TTGGTGGGAGCTAAAAATAAATAAATTAATTCACTCACACACACACACACACAAAAAAACCGGGTGGGGGGGGGAGAAGATATAACAACTACAATTTTTTGAAGTTGTTACAACAAGCAAACGGAAAGGACATTCTTGGGTGGGAGTAGGGAGAGGGAGGAGGGAGGGAGGTTTCGGTGATGGGCCATAATAATCAACCACATTGTATATTGACAAAATAAAAATTTAAAGGAAAAAAAAAATTCTAACAGACATGCTTTTGCTCCCTCAATATTTCTTGAGGAAGGAAAAAAGTTGGAGGAAAAGGTCATGAAAAAAGTTGAGAACAAATAAAACCTGACTCTTCTACTTGCCTCATTATAAACTCACACAAAATGAGTATGGAAACCCATAGGAATTAGTGATTTAAGTTACACCAAAGAGAACATTACTATATTACTACAGCTTTTAATCACATACTTTGGAGGTTCAAAATAATTAAAGTGCCTTCAGAAGGGCCTGCCTTATCTCCAAGTATAAATTATAACTAGAGAAAGACTCAGTAAACACTAGCAATGTGTTCTATGAACAGAAAACTGCTAATTAATATAACTTACCTTATAACTGAGATAACCAAGTAGTAGTGTTTCAAACAGACTTATCAATGCCACTGAAACCTAAAATATAAATGGTAACTTAGTGAGAAAATGCAATAAAATTAAAATATATATTCACAATCATGCTATTAACTTTTTATAAACATATCTGCATACACACATATGTCTGTGTGTAAGTATATACTGGTATGATATATACACATATGATGTAGGAGGTAGTAGGTGGCACTTTAACTTCTAGAAACAGGTGGCAGGCTGCAGGCCATAGTTTTCTGTCCGCACACTACAGCTTAGTTTTTATAACTTCTATTTGTTCATAATAAACCTTTTTCATTTATTATACCAAATGTAAAGGTGTGATTAGAGTAGTCAGACTTGCTGAAGTTTACAGGATATGTAAAGAATAGTTTCTTTTGTGTGTATGCTCCTAACACACATAATCACACACAACTGCCTCACCGCAAATAACCTCCCATTCTCACCAACACCACCACCATCTCCACCAAAGTCATCATTTTTCTTTGGAAAAAAACAGAAAATAAATGAATGCAAGCTTCAAGTTGAATGCATGTAATCCTATCACCCACCTCAAACAAAATCAAAGGGCAACATCCTTGAATACTGAATGAAACATACCATATCAGCACATCAAGATACTTTCACATTTTATTTTAATAAACTTCATAACCACTTTTCCTTTTGCAAATGGAAGTGCTAGTCCTGCATCCTCCTAGACAAGCTTCTATCTTTCTCTATATGTAGAATTTCTTTTGTTTAACTACCAAAAAACTATCATTGCAACATAAAAAGTAACTAGAAAAGATATCAAAATTATTCTGTTATA